ACGCTCTTCTGTGATAAAATGTAATTTGATTCTCAGTGTGTAGGGTCCAGTTGAGCTTGTGCCTGTAGTCTGGCCTCAGGAGTAGCTCTTGATCTGCACGATGGGAGCCCCTGTTCTTGTGGATTTAGTGTTACCGCTTCCAACATGTAGCTGTCCAAAGTCAAGTAACTCCGCTTAAAATGCTGGAGTTTTTGTTTTGTCAAAATCTCATTCTAATGCTGTTCCTGTTAACAGGCAAAACTGGACGAACTGCAGCTGTTCAGAGGAGACACTGTGCTTCTAAAAGGGAAGAAGAGGAGAGAGGCTGTCTGCATTGTTCTCTCAGATGACACCTGCTCAGATGAGAAGATTCGCATGAACAGGGTTGTTCGCAACAACCTGAGAGTGCGCCTGGGTGACGTGATCAGGTGAGGACTCATTAGTGACCTGTGGGGTGTCCCCGGGCTGCCTGAATAATTTGTGTGCTGGCTCTGAGCTGATTGAGTCAGTAGCAGAGGCAGGGTCTGCAGGACTTATTTGTGCACCTTCCAGAGGGCATCACAGGAACATTTGCAAGGTCGGGGACCTCAGTTTATTTTTGCATGTATTTCTGGCAGCATGCAGATTAATATTAAAAAATTATGCTAAAGATTCTTTAAGTATCTTCAGGACATTCATAAGCCCAGGTCCTGTAATTAAGTTAGGAGGTTGATTTATCTCAGTGTTGTGACTGTTGCGTTCCCTAATTTATGTTGTCAGGTGAACGCACAGATTTTTCTGGTCTAAATTTTTAATGTGCACAGCATTAACTGGATGGCATTAAGCAACATTGTAATTGATCTTGTAGTATCTGAGCTGCCCCTGTAGCAAACAGACATTAAAACTTGCTAGAAATGAGTGACAAAACCATGAAGTGGTCAAATAGCAGAATTAAAAATCCCTGAAGGATGCTTATATTCAAATTTTTGGTATAAAAATAACCTCAGAATTAGGAATGCTTTAGAAGTGATGCAGGGATTTTGTTGTGCAGCACTTGCAGAAAGCAGAGGAAAGGTGGTTCTCAGCCTTCCAAATACGGTTACCGATGGCCTTAGCTTCACTGCAAGGCTCTGAGAATTTTCACACCTCTTGCCCTCTGAAGTTTTCCTTGCTGATCTTTAACTATTTACTGTATTACTTACTGTGGCCTGGTTTCTGCCAAAATCCAGGTTCCTGCCTGTGGTCTGTCTTTTCCTTTACCTTTCTGCTGTGTCCTTTCTTTATAAAGCATGTGGTAAAAGAATCTGACTAAGAATCTGGAGCAAAGTTGCGTATGAAAAGTTACATGCTCAGCTGCAGTTCCACATAGGCTTTTCTTGGCTGGCAGAGCCAGTTTGAGCTTTCTGCCACAGATTAATACTCTGAGCTGTTGTCCTGCACTGCAAAATAATAACTGTAGTGTTTATTTAAAAAGGGGCTGTTGGACTTTAACCTAAATGTCAGCCTTCACCAGATGGGACTGACAGATGTCTGGCTGCACCCCCAGTTGGTACCATGAGAGCCTCTGCGCAGAATTGGGGCTGTCAGCAACATGGGCTCTGGTCTCTGTAGTAAGTTAGAGAGAGGAAGGAACAAAGAGATTCCCCCAGCAATCTTTGCCTTGCTGTTGGTTCATTTTAGCTCACTGCTGAAGCAAAAGTGAGAGCTTGTGATTCTCACAGGTCTTCAGGCTGCATTAGTGACTTGTGACTGTGCCTTGGGGATGGCAAGGGGGGCTACAGAAGAGCAGGTGGGTGGGAAGGAAGTATGAAACTCCACAGTGGTCTTGGATAGGGCCAAGATGGGAGGAGAAGGGTGTGTGGTGTGAAGACTAGCTCTTGGTGGGTGTGATTTTTTGCTTTGTCAGCATTGGAACGTTCTTACGCAGGTGGAACATCTCACCAGGACTTTGCAGGGTCCATTCTGACATTTGTGCTGGCCTTGCAGAGGAGTGTCATTGCCTTTCCCAGACCTGGGTGTGAGTCCAGCAGGATGTGGCTAACGAGTTTTCCTCTGTTGCAGCATCCAGCCTTGCCCGGATGTGAAGTACGGCAAACGCATCCACGTGCTGCCGATCGATGACACGGTGGAAGGGATCACAGGGAACCTGTTTGAGGTCTATCTGAAGCCGTACTTCCTGGAAGCGTACAGGCCTATGAGGAAAGGTAACGGTGCCTGTTGCTGGAGCCCTGTGGCAGCCAGTGTGTGCTAGTCCTGAGTCTGAATAAAGAGCATTTCCAGAAGCTTACACAGATCTGTGCAAAGCGTTAGACTGACAACTGTAGAGTGAGATATTGCTGGTGACAATTTAATTTCTTCCTGATCTTCAGAAGAAAGGTTGATTGCTGCTGCTGGCTGGCAGAGCAGCTTGCTAATTCTCCTGGTTTTTTTTCTCTATGAGGTAAGAGAGCGTCAGAAGAGTCTCTGTTAGAGATCAGGAGAAAAATCTCATTAAACTGAGTTGATACCTCTTGATGGAATTGGGGAGTTGCTTGCATATTAATCAGTTGGTTTGGTCTACCAGCTGGCATCCTGACTAAATTAATTTCATCAAAGGAATTTTTAATTGGGAGAATGCATACAAAATCAAAGGCACTTTTGGAGTTGCGCTGGTAGCACTTTGCTGTAGTAATTAAGTTCTAACACACTGTACACACAAGTTGAGGTTATTCAGTGTCTGTAGCCCAGTTCAGCCAGGAGTCATAGTGCAGTGTTATGTATTATTCTACTTTGGAGACAAGCAGTCGTAACTAGTAACAAATAGGTATACTAACTTGAGAATGAATTTTTATTAAGTTAGGGCTTTTTGCCTGTTTTAGAAATGTCAAACGGAAACAGAATGGAAAAGAAATCCGATTCCTTCCTTGCCTTTGTGTTTAGGCAGAGTATTCTTTCCTATTGTTTGCTGGTTTTGTTTGCTGCTTGTTCCTGGATGAAACTGGAGAACTTGGACTGCTGCGGGTCTCAGCATCGCGGGGGTAGTGACAGCACGTGCAGCTGTGGAGCAGGGTTACAAATGCTGGCAGCCTGTGCCTGTGTAACCCCCTTCCTTGGCCCCTGGGGCTGACGTTTTGCAGATGCTGGTCGCAGCAGGCTGCTGAAGTGTGGGGTTTTGCAGGTGACATCTTCCTGGTGCGTGGAGGAATGCGTGCAGTGGAGTTCAAAGTGGTGGAGACAGATCCAAGTCCATACTGCATAGTGGCTCCAGATACAGTGATCCATTGCGAAGGAGACTCCATCAAACGAGAGGTGAGCTGAATCCAGATCCTGCCAGATCCCCTCTGTCTGAAACCTTGTTTCTGTGAACATGCAGCAGTGCTCGCAGTCCCTCTGTTGACGTTGTGCGTATTGGATGTAAGGGTTAGAAAACCTGGTTTCAGAGGGGAGCAGCTGCTGCAGGTGGTCAGAGGAAGGTGCTCCCAGCCTCCTCCCTCGCACGCTGGGAGAGCAGCAGTGTGTGGGGCTGCTGAGGAGACACTCTCATGGGCCAGTGTCTGTTAGGTGCGGGCATCAGGGCTGCGACTTCCTTCCCTCTTTGAGTGGAGAGGGTTGTTTATAAAACCAGGACATTCACGTAGGACCCTATCTCAGAGGACAGATCGAAAATACCCCCTCACCATGCTCATAAATTATCACCGAGGCCAATTGCCAATGAACAAATTATTGGGTTTATTTAGGGTTAACGTCACTTAGAAATGAAAGGTTCAAAGAAGGCAATTAAAATAAGTATGGGTTAAGAAAACTCGGAGGGGTAATCCTTCACTAATGTGAAGGAGAAACGGGGGGAAACTAAGCCCAACCAAAAGTTTAGGAGTCCAGGAAGAAACGAATTGAAGTCTCTGATTCCCCCACCTCAGTGGGCGATGTGGGTGTGTGTATATACGCGGCTCG